TTCAATTTTTCTCTCACAAACATCACATCCAACTACAAAAAAATCCAATCATCTTCCTAAACACAAAAATTTTAACTTAACAAAATAACTAAAAATTAAAATTTCTAACCGCTTTCTTATACAATGATAAAATTACTTTGAATTATTAATTAAAATAAATTTTTGATATCATTAAAAATTATTAATTGACTTGATAATTTATTAATAAAAATGGCCATTTGTTATAAAATTAGAAATTTCAAGAAGTGAAATGTAATTTTCAAAATTATAAGGCTCAAATCATTTTTTAAGAAAATCTTAGTGTGTATTTGTAATTTACCCAAATTAAAATATGAGTTGAAAGAATTAAAAGTGTTTGGAAAATACTTTCGCTTATGTGTAAAAAATAGAAAAAAATGAGAAGAAATCTTTGGCTTTTTGTAAGTCTTTTCGATTTTTTAACTTTTTAAATAATTTTTTGATTTTGTTTTTACTAAAATCAGCCTATTATCAAATGACCTCTCTATGTATTTATTTTATTCAAATTTAAATTCAATAAAAATGCTAAAAAAGTAATCTCCAATTTTTTGTATCAAATGTTTATCAAATTCAGGGAGAAATATTTTTTTTATTAAATTCAATTTGATGAAAATTTAAAAATATAAGGTATTGGTGGATATGATTTTTTCAACAAATTTGAAGAAAATAAAATTTTGTAATAGATGAGAATTTTTAAAAAGATTTTGATAAGAAATTCATGAAAGGGTTGAAATAGTTCATATTAAATCAAATTTTTATTTAAATTTGAAATCAAATTAGATAAAAAATAATAAGTAATGAAAGGTTAGAGATGCTCTTACTCATGAAATGAAATCAATATAATTATGTCAAAGTTATAAAATTTATTGTATTTTCACCAAATCTCAAAAAAAATCAATGAAATTTGCCATTATGTTTGTCACCAAATAAAAAATTAAATTTCAAGCTTAGTAAAAAGAAAAAAACTTTTATTGAAACATCGGTTAATCAATTGTTTTTGACTTTTGAATGTGAAAATCAGCATCCTACTATGCACATCTAAAGATTTTGTATGCTTGGGGAAGTTTTAAAAAAAAAATTTGTGAAAAAATTGTTTTCTTTCTCCCTTTTTGTCAGCTAAATAAGCCAATGTCAAAAGAGCTATTTCTTTTTTGTTCAAATAGCCCAAAAAAATAGCTATTTTATACAAAGCCAAACAAGGCCTTAAGGGTCATCATAGCAGTCATTCAATAGTTCATTGTATTTGGGAGAGTAGGCAGAGAAACTGCAGCAATATAAAAAGACAGATTAGCTTCTCAGGAGGATGCAATGAATGACAATCTCAGTACACCAAACTACCACATTTAGCCATAAACAATTGAAAACAGGGAATAAGAAAAAAAGGAAACCCAACTCTGTGTGTCTGTGTGTGTCAAGTTTGAGTTGTAACTTGAAAGATTGCATTTCAAAGTAAAAAATTTGGCAAGGCCAAGTTTTCAGTGACTGAAGTGGAATTTAAAAACAATTACATACAAAAGTACAAATCTCTAATGGCTGCTAAATGATGCAAGAAAAGAAACAATAAAGAGTTATGACATGCAACTCATATTTAACTCGTCCTTAAATAAAGCTAAAATACGTAACAAAGCTTTAGAACTCAATACAACAACAAGGGTAAAGCTTTTGAAGTGATCCAGTAGAGCGTCTATCCGGATGCGCACACACTCAAATGCAACAGCTAGGTGAGACACTCCTTCAAGTGGATACAATTGCTTTATAGTGCTACTAAATGGAACATATCTAGTTTTGAAATAAAATCATTAGTAACTCAAATATAGCTTATAGATAGAAACCATAAAAGATAATCAACAAAGTAATCCTCCAGAGATAAATTGCACTTACCTAATAATGCCACCTGTTTTTTCTAATTTATTCTTTCATTGCATCAGTGTGCACCCTTGTTGGACCTTTTCACCTTCTTATATTGTTTTCCTTCAACTATTTTCATTAGCCATTATAGTCTTCAAGTTACAAACATAAGATATCCCATAACCATTCCAAATACAAATCCGCATCCATACCCCATCACTACAACATTCTAGCCAATCCCGCTTCACCAGTAATATTCACTTTTTTCAAATTTTTTAGTTAACAAAATAACTAAAAATTAAAATTTCTAACCGCTTGCTTATACAATGATAAAATTACTTGAATTATTAATTAAAATAATTTTTTAATATCATTAAAAATTATTAATTGACTTGATAATTTATTAATAAAAATAGTCATTTGATATTAAAATTAGAAACTTCAAGAAGTGAAATGTAATTTTCAAAATCATAACGGACAAATCATTTTTTAAGCAAATCTTAGTGTGTATTTATAATTTACCCAAATTAAAATATGAGTTGAAAGAATTGAAAGTTTTTGGAAAATACTTTCGCTTATGTGTAAAAAATAGAAAAAAATGAGAAGAAATCTTTGGCTTTTTGTAAGTCTTTTCGATTTTTTAACTTTTTAAATAATTTTTTGATTTTGTTTTTACTAAAATCAACCTATTATCAAATGACCTCTCTATGTATTTATTTTATTCAAATTTAAATTCAATAAAAATGCTAAAAAAGTAATCTCCAATTTTTTGTATCAAATGTTTATCAAATTCAGGGAGAAATATTTTTTTTATTAAATTCAATTTGATGAAAATTTAAAAATATAAGGTATTGGTGGATATGATTTTTTCAACAAATTTGAAGAAAATAAAATTTTGTAATAGATGAGAATTTTTAAAAAGATTTTGATAAGAAATTCATGAAAGGGTTGAAATAGTTCATATTAAATCAAATTTTTATTCAAATTTAAAATCAAATTAGATAAAAAATAATAAGAAGTAATGAAAGGTTAGAGATGCTCTTACTCATGAAATGAAATCAATATAATTATGTCAAAGTTATAAAATTTATTGTATTTTCACCAAATCTCAAAAAAAATCAATGAAATTTGCCATTATGTTTTTCACCAGATAAAAAATTAAATTTCAAGCTTAGTAAAAAGAAAAAAACTTTTATTGAAACATCGGTTAATCAATTGTTTTTGACTTTTGAATGTGAAAATCAGCGTCCTACTCTGCACATCTAAAGATTTTGTATGCTTGGGGAAGTTTCAAAAAAAAAAATTTGTGAAAAATTTGTTTTCTTTCTTCCTTTTTGTCAGCTAAATAAGCCAATGTCAAAAGAGCTATTTCTTTTTTGCTCAAATAGCCCAAAAAAATAGCTATTTTATACAAAGCCAAACAAGGCTTTAAGGGTCATCATAGCAGTCATTCAATAGTTCATTGTATTTGGGAGAGTAGGCAGAGAAACTGCAGCAATATAAAAAGACAGATTAGCTTCTCAGGAGGATGCAATGAATGACAATCTCCGTACACCAAACTACCACATTTAGCCATAAACAATTGAAAACAGGGAATAAGAAAAAAAGGCAACCCAACTGTGTGTGTCTGTCAAGTTGTCCTTAGCAAATGGAAATGGAATAAACCACAGATACAAGCACTAGCAAAACGAATCAATCACAAACAAAAAAACATGACACAAAGATCCGCGATTGAGTAAGAGGAGTACAATACTAATCAGGTTTCACAATCCCAAAAGTTTTCTTGCCTATGAGCGAACTTTTCAATCAATACATATCACCATTTTCCTACCGGTCCGACATGACCCCGTAAACTGTCTGCTACAACGGTCTGACACGACCATACCGTGTCTCCTATCCTGTTTTTATTTATCAGTTTACTTTCCTGTTTTGTTACTCTCTTCAAACTCAAGTTGGTTAGTTCCTATCCTCCTTGAGTTTGAGGGGGGCTGTTAGTGTGTTAGCTTAGTGTGTTAGCTTTATGTTAGTGGTTTATACTTTATGTATAGTGCAATGTTAGTGCTTTAGATTTTCATCATTACAATTTGTAAATCGTCTCCTATATAAGGAGCCCCTAACCATATGAATACATACAATCTATTCTACCTCTCTATACATTATTCAAACATCTCTAATGGCTGCTAAATGATGCAAGAAAAGAAACAATAAAGAGTTATGACATGCAACTCATATTTAACTCGTCCTTAAATAAAGCTAAAATACGTAACAAAGCTTTAGAACTCAATACAACAACAAGGGTAAAGCTTTTGAAGTGATCCAGTAGAGCGTCTATCCGGATGCGCACACACTCAAATGCAACAGCTAGGTGAGACACTCCTTCAAGTGGATACAATTGCTTTATAGTGCTACTAAATGGAACATATCTAGTTTTGAAATAAAATCATTAGTAACTCAAATATAGCTTATAGATAGAAACCATAAAAGATAATCAACAAAGTAATCCTCCAGAGATAAATTGCACTTACCTAATAATGCCACCTGTTTTTTCTAATTTATTCTTTCATTGCATCAGTGTGCACCCTTGTTGGACCTTTTCACCTTCTTATATTGTTTTCCTTCAACTATTTTCATTAGCCATTAAAGTCTTCGAGTTACAAAAATAAGATATCCCATAACCATTCCAAATACAAATCCACATCCATACCCCATCACTACAACTTTACAGCCAATCCCGCTTCACCAGTCTGAATTTTCATCTTGTTGGAGTGTTAGTGTAGGTGGCAGTGGCTGTGGTTCCTTACATTTCTCTGATAAGGGGAATCCACATAAAGCCAAGTTCTTGCTGTATGAATCATTTCCAAATGTGTTAAACTGGTTCCCCTGAGGAATTAGTCCGGCTAGTTGGTTATCTAAAAGGTTTAGTACCTCAAGAAATATTGAACTAGTCAATTACAAAGGAATACAAACTTGTTTGAGGAAAGATCCAACGATTCAAGGTTTTTCAAATTTTCAAGTGAAGTTGGGATATGGCCTTTAAGGTTGTTATTGGATAAGTTAAGACAACGAAGCGAATTAAGCCTCCCAATGGATTTCGGAATCTCTCCTCGGAATTTATTTCTTGAAAAATCAATGATTGAAAAGATTGTTAAGATTCTTGATAATTCAATCTCATATCCTTTAATCATCACCACCACAGAATCTTGGTAATATGCTTGATCCATGTATTTCAATTTCATTTCATGTTCATCAAAATTCATCATAGCTCCAAATTGTTTGATATAATTTGTTGGCAAAAAGCCAGTGAACTCATTGCACGATATGTCAATAATTCTCTACTTCGAAAAAGGATGTTTGCTCTTGGTCTTGGAGGTTTCCATGTGACCATGAAACCTATTAAACCTCAAGACAAGAACCTGCAATTCTGGAAGTGTTTCCAACCAGTGGGGGAATGTATCATTTATCTTATTTGTTCCAAGATCTATAACTTCCAAGTGTCTACAATTGAGCAGAGATCACGGAACATGTCCTTCAATTTGGTTGTCATTCAAGTTAAGACTCTCAGCATGTTGCCTTTTGCAAATGCTACAGTAAAGATGCCACCAAAGCTATTCATCCGTAAACTCAACACCGGGAAATTAACGCTTATGTTTCCCAAACATTGTGGAATCACACCACTCAGACTGTTATTTGATAGATCAAGAACTTCAAGTGACATCAGACTGCAAATCAAAGTTGGGATTTCTCCCGTCAATTTATTGTTTGAGATAGAGAAAACAATTGTGGAGATAGGTGGAACAGGGAGTGGTCCTCGGAGTAAGTTGGAATGCAGGTTAATATATTCTAGATTCTTCCATGGAAGACACTCTAAACTTGTAAGGAAATTATGAGAAAGATCTAAACTATCCAATGTATTTTTTCCCACGTCGAATATCCATTTTGGAACTTCACCATGAATTTTATTGTTTGAAAGGTCTAATGCAATCAAATCAAGCAGTACTCTCAAGAAGTTTGGGAATTCACTTAAGTTGTAAGAAGCTAATCCTATAGTCTCAAAGTAATGCAAGGTAGAGTTGACATAGCTTTATGTTAGTGGTTTATACTTTATGTATAGTGCAATGTTAGTGCTTTAGATTTTCATCATTACAATTTGTAAATCGTCTCCTATATAAGGAGCCCCTAACCATATGAATACATACAAAGAAACTGAAGAGAACTAGTCACGTTGAAGTTTGGAAGTTTATCAAGTGACACCCAAATTATCCTGTACATTGAGCTTTCATAGGTTTGGGAGTTGGAAAATGTTTTCTGGGAATTTCCCACGTAGTTGACAAGAAGCAAGACTGAGAGATGTCAAAGAAGATAGATTTAGCAAAGCATGAGCTAAAGGTGAAGGAATATCCAACTCAACAAGGTGTAGTTCTCTTAATTGGTTTAGGTTCCGAAGGAGCATATTGAAAGTGTGCTGTTCAAGACTCACCTCATAATGAAAAAGAGACAGATCAATGGAACTCAATTTGGATAGATGACAGATTTCTGAAGGAACTCTGCCTGCAAATAAAGAGTTGGAGAGGTAGAGATGGGCCAAGCTTGCAAATGAGCCAAACTAGATGAAATTCTAGAAAAATTGAAGTCATTCAAGGCAAGATTGAGCCTCTGAAGCTGACGAAGGTGGAAGAGGGAGATGTTGGCTTCAATGGTACCATGAAGTGTGTTGCAACTGAGGTCAAGCCCAATTACATGACCATTTAACCAGTCACAGGTGACCCCCTCCCACGAGCAGCAATCAATACTCTCATTCCACAACATCATTTTAGGGTGAGAATCAGATTCACACTGTGGGATGGAAAAATCAGTTATGGTAAATGTTTTCTTAAATTGGAGTAGTGCAAATCTCTGGTCCTCAAGGCACGTATGGCATGTAGAAGTACGAGAAGACCATGATGATGAATATGTAGTAATAACTACTAGTTGAGAAAACAAGATAAACACCAGAAGAATTTGATGAAGCCATATTAGCCAACTCATTTTCTCCGTATATGGGTAGGAATCAGAGAGATATCAAAAGGAAAGAGTAAGTATTGGATAGTTGATGATGACTGAGCTGGATATATAAGAGGATTAAATGTATTATTATCCAATTTGATACACACTGCAAAGTAACAGTAAGCATTTTCTATGGTGAAGCCCGTCAAGGACAAGAAATATTTAATAAATTATCCAGACCCTTCAAACAAGCTGGTCTTTCA